AGATCCCTCCTACTTTACTCTTCTTTCTCAGGATTGCTGTGGCTATTCAGGGTCTTTTATTGTTCCAAATGAACTTTTGGAGAGTCTCATAGCCCTATTTTGTCTGTGAAGCTCCTGATTCCACATTCAATTTTGAATGATAGCCTTTCTGGGTATAGTATTCTTGGATTCAGTCCCTTGCTTTGCATCACTTTGTATATTCCATTCCATTCCCTTCTGGCCTGGTATGTTTCTGTTGAGAAATCAGTTGATATTCTAATAGGAGATACCTTGTAGGTGACTTTCTGTCTTTCTCTGGCAGCCTTTAAGATTCTTATTTTGTCGTTAGTGTTCGCCAATTTAATTATGATGTGTTTTTGGTGTTGGTCTTTAGAGGTTCAACTTGTTTGGGGCTCTATGTACTTCTTGGACTTGCATAGTTTTTTTCTTGCCAATATCAGGAAAGTTTTTCTGTCATTATTTCTTCAAACAGGTTTTCTATTCCTTGCTTCTCTTCCTCTCCTTCTTGTATCCCTATTATTCGAATGCTGTTTCGTTTTGTGTTGTCCCAAAACTCCCTTAGGCTTTCCTTTTGCTTTTTAAGTCTTCTTTCCAGTTGCTGCTGTGTTTTTGTGTTTTTTCCTATCTTGTCTTCTAATTCACTGATGTGGTCCTCAGCCACCTCTAGTCTGCTGTTTAAGCCTTCCAATGTGTTCTTAATTGCAGCTATGTAGTTCTTCATCTCCTCTTGGTTTCTTTTCATGTTGGTGAGATTTTCATTCAGCTCCTTATAGTTCTCATTGAGTTGTGTGTATTTATCATCCATTCATTTAAACATCCTTATAACCAATACTCTAAATTCTTTCTCTGTTGAGCTGCTAGCCTCAAGTTTAACTACCTTTCTGGTGATTCCTCTTTTTCTTTCCATTGGGGATTGCCTTTTTGTCTCCCCACGTTTTCCTGTAATGTTTTGGTTGTAGATCCAATTGCTTTGCTACCCAGGTTCTTTTGGTGATGATGCTACTAGTGTAATCTCTCAGGTCTCCTGGGCTTGATAATCTAGTGTAGTTCCTTACTGGCACTATTTGGGTTCTCTTGATGTAGGCCTGTGAGCTTGAAATGCACAATTGCTGTGTCTAAAAGTCAGTAATTGTGGAGGGGAATATCCCAATATTTGCTGTCTTGCACCCTAAATTGAAATCACGTTTGCCCAGGGGGAACTCACAGTGGCACCAAGGAACCATCTGTCGAGGTGATGTGCTCAGGGAGCCTGCACTCTGGAAAGGCATGACTGTGTTGCCCAGAGTTCTATAGTTTAGGGTGGGCAGGCTCAGCTTTTGCTGCTGTACCTGTGGTGGATAGGTGCTTAATCCCAATGGTGACTCACATGAGCACTTGCGGTAAGTTTGCCTAAAAGGCACACTGAAGCACTCTGAAGGGCCCGGGCAGTGTAACTGGGTAATTGAGGTGCCTAGCTTCTAAAGATTTTTCTTTTGGGAAGTTCCTATAGCCTCAGGAAGTACTCAGATTCCAAAGTGTTAATCAGGGTGGAATCTGGTTGTGGCTATATTGGTTGCCCAGAGGGAGGGGCTATCTCTCAGGAGAAAATGATGACAGGGGACCAGATGTCACTTAGCACCCAATGCGATTCCACCTCTTCTGGACCATCTGCCATCTGCTCTCCATAGATTCCACAACTCCACCCCTTCTCCTGCCCCTGAGCCACAGGTAAGTGTCTGTATCTGAAAGGTCCTAAGAACTAGGTTCAGTGGAGAAAGACGCAGGCCCCAGCATGAGGAGGGACCAGGTCTTTACAAGCTCCTCTCTTACCAGCACTGCAAGGTTGGACAGCGAGCTCTTCAGGGCTGCCTTTGAGCTCAGATCCCAAATCTAGACTCCAAGGTCTAAAATCTGTTACCTCCCACAGTCTGTAGACCCTTTTTCTCACAGTCAGATGCTTGCCTGTCCTCAATGATACAGCTTAGCATTGTGTAGTTTTTCCCTGACCTTCTGGGCATAGAGATCTGGCAGGTTCTATTTTAAGATCTTTGACTTTACCTTTTTCCAGGATATCTCTGCCCTTCCCAGCTGCAAACTATCTCACCAGCTGTGTCTCCGCCAATTCGGGCTGGATTCCTCTCATTTCAGCTGCTCTCTCTATTTGCTCTGTGACAAGGGTCAGGACATGTCCTTCTATTCCACTGTCATTTTGTCTTTGTCTTCTAGTTGGTTTTGAATATTCTTTACCACTAATGGATAGACTCAGGTTGAAGATAAATCCTGTCAGTATATGTGATTCCAAAAAATTCACTGGATGCATCAAAACTTTAAGTTGGTGGGGGTGGAGAGGCGGGAGAGTTTAATTGTGATTTTTGTTGTTATTTATATGAAAATATTCAGAATGATGCAACTGAAAGAGAAAAACAAATCAAAATCAAACAGCCTTTAGCTTTATTTCTCTTTAAAGTCAATCATCATCTCTTGATAAAGAAAACATTAAGCAAACCGGGCTCAGCAGACCACTTTTCTCTCCCAGGACATCCCGGGAAGAGTATGCCTGGGTGGCTTTGAAAACAAGCAAATCAGACACAGCACAAGAACACTTACAGAATGTATGGTATCATGTATCTCTGTAGTAGTTCATTCCACAGGGTGAATGCATATTTGACACACTGCCTTATTACATTACTCAGTAATCAGCAAACTCATTAGTCAACAGAGCCAAATATCAACAGTACAATGATTGACAGTTCTTTTGAGAGCCAAATTGTTTAAACTTAAACTATATAAATAGATACATTGTTATTAACTTAATTAGGGTACTCCTAACCTGGCCTTTGCTAAAAACTCAAGGGGCCAAAGAGCCACATGTGGCTCAAGAGCCACAATTTGCCAACCACTGGCATAACTGATCTGTTTATTATCGCATATATTGTAGATGTCCAAACATCATTGAGGGAGTGACACCACAGGACATTGTAAGTACTTGGTCCCATGGATGCTCTTTTTTGCAATGCCCTTGACAATTCAAGACCAATAACCTTACTCATATACTATGCCTCTCTCCACCAACTTTTTCCAACTCCTTTAATTCATTGCAGTCTGTATCTTCCACCTTTTTGTCCAGTTCAAACAATTAACTAGGGGAACTAAAGAGTGATTTTCTTCTTTGTTGTCTTCTTTTCTGAAAGTTGGGGCTCAGTCTTTGACTATATCCATATAATGATCTTGGACATTAGAAAAAACATCAAATTGCATCATATGATTTTCTGTCTAGCCTTAGTCAATAAACATGTGGGACTTTTGAACAAAAGTGCACATGTAAACATTTTGCATCCAGTATTGTTGAGCTGTCATCAATGTTCCTGTGTCTGTTTCACTGATGTAATATTAGGTAAATATGGAAGCAAAAGCAATCCACAGGGTCATCTTGAAAAAAGAAATTCTGGTTCTGTTTTCTAAAAATGTAGAAATAATTAATTTCTTCAGCTGCCAATGTGTCATCCATCTTTAGACTACAAAACCTGGAATAACAAATTTTTGTTTGTTCACATATGATCCTCTTAGATCCTTTCATATTTGAAAATTAACGACTTTCTTTGGGGGAAATTCTTGGTTATTCTGCCATAACAGAATATGTATTAACTTGTAGATTCAGTGGTTTGATGCCTGTTTAATCACATGCTGATATTCCAGAAGGATTTCTTGCATTTGTGAAAATAAATGGGACCCAAAGGATATATTTTTATTTTTTATGTAACCTGTTTTGAAATTAAAAATCTTATGTCATACAAATGAAAACAAATTATTTTTAAAGGGGAAAAAATCAAAGTTAAAAAAAATACAAACTTTTAATAGTTTGTTCAAATGAATTTTACTATGTGTGATAGTTTCCTTTGGTGAAAGAAAAATTCCATTCATTTGACATGATGAGATTAAAGAAAAAAAGCCCAGTGGGCTTTTTGTTTTTGTTCGTTTTTTAAAGTAACATTGAGCCATTTTGTTTTACAAACTAGTGTAATCATGCTAGTCCTGGTGCCCTCAGTAATGTTTTATTGCTGTTATTGTCATTGACTTACTGACATCTGTGGCAAATGTGTTGTTGTTGGTTTATTTTTGTTTTGTTTTTTTCTAAAATGTCCACAGAATCCCTATCACCTACCACTTTGTAAAAATCTGAGATCTGAAAGGAACCTCGGAACTATTGTGCTTGACTCCATCTTCCAGATGCAAATACTCTGAGGAGTGCAGGCTCTGAGAGAGCACTGCCCCTGGACTCAGGAGACCCAGGTCTGGGTTGGCTTTGCCTTTCCAATGTGGGAGGCTGCCTAAGCTCTGCCATCTCTCCTTGGGCCTCCTTTCTCTCACCTTCAAAGTGAGAGAAAAGGCAACATCACCTCTCAGGTCTCTTGCTGCTCCAACATGCCAGCATTTTGCAACTAAAAGCTCATCTAACTCAGAACTTTTGAGCTTTAAAGTTTTGTTTATTATTTTATGACATGTTAGGAAAAAAATAAAAATACTAAAATTACCCATAACTAACCTCATCATCCAGAGATACCTGTTAACATTTTTTTTTTAATTAAGAAAGTACTCTTGTTTGTTGGTTTGTTTTTTTATTGTAAAAGTAATATATATTTGTTTAAAAAAATGCTTAGACAATTTAGGAATTTTTTTTTTAAAGAAGAGAGTATCATTTACTCTACACCCACAACTTAGAGCAACATGTTAACAGCTTTGCTCATAACTTTTCAGGCTTTTAAAACCATATATGTGCATGTACATTGCTTTCTACAAAAATAGGGTAATACTTCATAAACTACTTTGTTACTTGAAAATACAAGTTTATAAACATATTGTGAACATTCTTACAACTACTTATAACTTTTAGTATTTTTAGTAAATGATTTGTTCTTGTTGAATTAAATTAATATCAAATATTCATAACTGCACCAGATCCCTCTCTAATAGTCTGCTGTTGAATGAATGAGCCCTAGGTAACTTTGATTGCTTTTTTCCAGGAAGACCATGACGTATTTTATTCTGTCAAGTATGAAGTGAAGGAAGGCAACTGTCCTGTTCAAAGTGGCATACCCTGGCAGTTGTGTGACTACAAAGAACCTGAGCAAGCTGTAAGTGTGATGGTCCAGAGCCTCCAGTTTTCTCAATGGAGACTGCCAAATTATTCTATTAGTGCTGGGGGTGATGAGTATTCTTGCATAGACAGAAAGGGCATGAGAGGTCAGCCATGAGATGTGGAGAAAGCTCTCCCATGAAGAGAGGATTCCTATGACCAACTGGGTGCTTTGTTTGTGCAGACCTGAGTTGGAATTCTACTCTGCCTCTAATTAGCTGACCACTTTTAACCCTTGTAAGAGGGAGGCAAAGTTGACCTAAATTGGAAGATGAAAGGACATACATATGAAAAGATCTTGTTTTATTAACAAGGTTTCTTATCCAAACACCTAACATCTGCTTACTACACCATAGCTGGTTATTTGCCCTTACCTGTGGGAGCTAACAGCCAGTATCTGCCAGAAAGCAAGACACTCTTTCCAGAGTCCATGGACTCACCTCTTTAATGTGTCAAAATGTAATTAATGGAAATGGGTGTCCACTGGTGGGAAGTGAGGGGTCCCTTTTTCCACTGGACATTGGAGAACTGGTCCTCACGATATCTTGAGAAAAAAGAATCTTCTAAGAGTCACACAGGAAGATGAGAAATCTTTATTTGTGTGGAATTACATATCTGCATTTCTAAAGTGCCATTTCCCTTAAACCAGTTGTAAAAGAGGAGCAGCTGGGGATTCAGAGAGCCAACAGCCAAACCAATGTGTCAAGTTTCCATTCCATGGTGGAGCTGGGCCATCTATTAGTCCATTGTATGGGGGAGAGGGGGAGAGGGAGTTTATGGCTGCGGTCCATGTGGGAGCATGCAGGGAAGGGTGCAAGAGAGGCAAGAGAGTGAACTTTGTTTAGGAGTTTAATATCTGAAATCTTCCTGTGCTTGCAATGGCCAAACCAACTATGTTCCCAGGTGTGACTGACAGACAAGTACCTTCCCTACCTCACCCAGACTTTACTGGGCCTGTGTCTATTTGGCCTTCCCTTTGCTCCTTTTCAGTGAATAACTGGGTATTACCATGCTATCAAAAACTCCACATCCTCTGTGCAGTGGAACCCTGAAGTTGAACTGTAAGAGGAGAGTCTGACAGGCTAGTTTTAGGGCACAGTGTTCATCTTGGTGAAAAAGAAATACCTCCAGTGCTCCAAACATAACATTATTTTATTTATTTATTTTTATATATTTTATTGATTTTTTACAGAGAGGAAGGTAAAGGGATAGAGAGTTAGAAACATCAATGAGAGAGAAATATGGATCAGCTGCCTCCTGTACACCCCCTACCGGGAATGTGCCCATAACCGAGGTATATGCCCTTGACCGGAATCAAACCCGGGACCTTTCAGTCCACAGGCCTAAGCTCTATCCACTGAGCAAAACTGGTTTTAGCCATAGCATTATTTTAAAAGCTCACTATCTACACTGCCACTCCTCCTGACATCTCATGAATATTAATGACTTGTAAATAATAATGATTAGGCTACAGAAACATTCATTCTTGTGTCTCAAAACTTCCTTAGAAAAGAATCTTAAGTTTTAAATAAGAGAAAAGCTGTACTTAGCAACAGCACTAGGTGCAGTTTTCCATCTGAAAGATTAAGATAAATGGTCTCCTTTTTCTTTCTTTCTAGGCCACAGGAGCATGCACGGCCACCATAGGGAAGAGGCATTGGGATTGGGATTTCTTCGTGACAACCCAGACCTGCCACGTTACTCCAGGTAGCTGATATATAGGGTGGCACTGCCCAGGAGCATAAACTGGACAAAGCCCCTTCCCAGAGGGCAGTGGGTGGCTGCACAAGGCTATTTGCAGCCTTGGTAGGGGTTGGGGTCTATAGTGACAGAGTCCTGAGGTGGTGCCAGGCTCCTACCAATCATCCCCTGGACTCTCCCTGGACAGCAGCGCTCAATTAGGGGTGTGCAAAGGCCCTTGGCAAGGACTAGAAAACATGTCACATGCCTCAATTGTGGCGGTGTCCTAAAGCCAGAAAAGCACAGGATTTGAGGTCAGACCCAGCCTGCAATCCTTCAAAAGTTCTTCACCATTTTATTTCCCTTTTCCTGAAAATGGAATCACAGTAATTCTCACTGCAGAGGGTAATTGTAGACTGAAATTAGATGGCAGGCTTGAAGTTACAAGCATAAGAATGTGTTGGTCATCAGAATAAAAGTAATCATAGCTGGTATTTATTGAGCACTTATTGCTAGCCACAGTGATAATCGTTTTATATATGTTGATTTATTTAATCCTCACAACAATTCTATGAGTCAAGTGTTAATGTTCTCATTTACAAATGAGGAAACCCAGGCCCAGCACAGTTAAATATCTTTCCCAGTATCACATAGCTATCAATTAGCAGAATTGGTATACTAGACCTTGTAAAAATAGAGCCACTTATGCAGAGATATAACCACTATTAGCTCCTTCCCTCTGGTGACACAGTGACTGGGTGCAGAAGAATGGCCACATCAAGGGAAGGTCAATGACAAAAGCCAACCCAGAACTGGCCTTTTGCAAGATAGGGTTTTAGTATAGGAGACTCCAGAGTAGCATGCTCATGAACGTCAGTGGAGGAACAATTTTCAATCTTGGCCTTAGTCATCCATAAAGAAAACTACATTTCTTGAGTTTCAGCTCTTGCAAGAAGTGGCATTCAAAGAAAAGCAGTTGAAAACAGAAAAGAAATCACAATTAAAAAAAATTGGAATTGTTTTTTATTACTTAGTTTAAGAACTTTATCTCATAAGCAAATTTTCACAAGATCCAGACCACTGCACTTATATATGAGGAGAGAAAAAGCTCTTTGCCACATCTTGTAGATCCACACTTACTACTAGGTCCACAACCCCTCATCTGAAATCTATTTGGCCAAATAATCTTTAAAAACTTTTTAAAAATCCTCCCTAGAAATGTTGGAGCAGGATGAAAAATCATTCCCTTGCCTGGCAAAACTGAATTTGCATCTTTCCCAACTCCTCTCCGCCTTAAAAGACTGTTCCATCTATCCTCTTACCCCAGTCAGACCTGCCCTTGAGGTCAGCAAACCAGCTGCTGGTCTCTACTCTCTTCCCCCTCTCCTTCTGTGTTCATCAATCTTTTGTTCTATCATCAGTAATTCTCTCTTGTTTCCTATGTAAGTCCCCTTTAGTTGGTTAGTTTTGTCCAATGACCTGATGCAACATACCTTCTGCAAGGGGAGAACAGTGAGGAAAGCTATGAATAGTCACCCAGCAAATCTTTTTTTTTTTTGATACACATGCTTATGGAGTGAGTGCCAAGAAACAGCTGCAAGGGGAGTTGTGTTGACCTACTTGTAACTGAGGGACACTGCTATAGAACACTGTTGGCCTCCTGCTTCTGTTTGGTTCCTACACACTCAGACAGTCAGAGCCCGAGGCAAATGGGCCCAGGAAGCCTTCATGACTTCCCCTCTACAGCATGTGACTCTACTGACCAGCAGGCTAAGGCTATCTGTTATAAACATGACTTGGTAACTTAATTCAAGCTTGCTCCTGTTTTAATATTTTACATTATTTTATTACCACCCCGTCAGTAGGCCCCCATCCTTACTGCCAACCACTCTTTATTCACTTCAGAGGGTCTATGCACACCCTGAAATTATATGGAGAACATTGTGAATACCAGCATTTTCCTGGAGATGGCGCCATAGTTCTCATCAGGTTCACCAAGGAGCCCATAGCCCTTGGAACATAGTTCATAACCCCTGGCCTCTGCAGACTGGCCCAGGCTCCACAGCAGAGGACTTTTCTACCAATTGTCCAAACCTTAATTGCCAGTCCCTGCCTCCCTCTTTAAGCCCCAGTAAAAAGTGTATACACCACATCCCTGCTTTCTTGAGAGCCATTCCTCCCTTTGCTCCTTCTTCTCAGGCTCACACTTTATGTTGCCTAATTAACCTTGACCACTTTACAACCTTCTTAGCTCAAGCGTCTTTTCCTCAGGAAAGTCTTTCTAGAGCTCACTCTGGGCTCCTGCCTTTTCAAGCTCTTGCTGATTATTTTGAAATATCCATTTGCAGTTCAGTCTCTCCCACTCAACTTTGCCCAACACCTTCACCACTGCCAGGGCTGACCATCAGCACCCGAACTATGGATGATCAGATTAATCAGACACAGTTTGACTGTGAAAGACAGGACTAAAGGGCTCCTGGCTCTGCATTGTCTGCCTTGTTAGCCTTTTATTGCAATTTTTATCGTTAGATATAATCAGTAGGGTGAGTAATCTTGGGAGGACACATGTGTTTACATTGTCCTCTAGGCAAGAGCATCCAGAGATTAAGCATAAAGATTCCAGTAAACACCTAGGGGTTTGTATGTAATCAGACTTGTTTGGAAAGGTCAAGGCATAATTAGGGGCACTGCCTTTGACATTCCCTATGTCTCCACTAAGTCAGAATTCTTAGGGCAGGTGGCCTTCCACACACATTCCTTTTATCAGAATGTCCTCCTTACAACTTTCCAGCCAAGCCTCCCCTTTGC